TAGTAAGCAGGCAGATCAGGTTGCTCACCATGATCATCATTCTAAACACAGATACTTTGAGATTGGAGATACTGTTAGCAAAGAATTTTAGGCCAGGAGCACAATGGGTTAGAGGGAAGATTATCAAACAGTTAGCCCCTTTAACTTTCCAAGTTGAAGTAGATCAAGGTCTTCATTGGAGACGCCATATTGATCATCTGAAGCATCTACCAAGTGCTCCATTCATTCGACATGGTCTGGATGACAATTCTAATGAAGAGGAATCTCAGGAAGATGCTCCTCAAGTTACAACTGAATCTACCACAGATAATGAGGCTAACACCACGCCCTCTGTGGACGATCATAGACCTACTCCTACTGGTATTCCTCCCACTGCCTCCACTCCAAATCGGTCCGAGCGTCGTTATCCTGTGAGGAATCGTAGACCTCCTGATAGGTACTATTAACTAGTTTCTAACTATGTGTGGGGGAATGTAGTGTAATGTATGTATGTATTATTCTTATTATTGTATTATTGTAGTTATTCTAATGTTTATGTTATGTGGTTACTGTGAATAGCAATAAGGTTATACATGTATGTGTTATTATTTATGTACCATTATTATTATATAGTTTTTGTAGCACGTGCTCTAACACACACACTCTCTTTTCCCTTCGATCGTTCTTTCTGTTCTCTCTCTCCCTCTCTATCCCTTGTTTCTCGAGTTTTACCAAATAAAGAGTTTTAAATATATCACAAGTTTGTGCACAGTGCTGTGTTACAATAGCTAAAGGTACTCCAAAAACATTAATTCCAATACCCTTCAACACCTTAATCCAATCTCTTCAGCAGTTAATTCATGGAATTGTTTCCACATATATGATCTTGTTGCAATACTCATCCCCTTACCTTTTACAAGAATCTCTTCTATTGATGATAGGGATTTTGTAAACTTCTCAGCAAATTCCTTCACTACTAGAGTTGATTCACTTTTCTTTACTTTATTGATAATGAAATGATGACTTGAAGAAACTCTTGTGCAGTGTCTTGTAGTTTCCCGGTATTCAGGAAGCTCTGAAAGATGCTCCAATGAAGCGACAAGACTATGCACACTGCTGCAACTGTAGTTCATGATTACGGTTTAGCTTAGATAACATAGGGTTAAAAAATAACAAAAATAATTTCAACTTTGACGGCTTCACTGCATAATGGACATCAAACTGCAATCACTGGGCGTTTCCAATCCCTTTCCCTGCTCCAGTATCCATGGTAAAACTAAAATCATTTCACAGTCTTGAATCTGACTGTTTTATTGATGAAGAAAAGACCATGGGTCCTTGAAAGGTTTTGCATGAAATGTTATTACCTCCTTCTACCGAAAGAGACTGCGTACAGAAAACAGTTGCAACATAAATGCTACAAACACATCGATATGAAACAGGAAGTAACCATGCAAGTGTCTCAGGAAGTGATGACTGATGATGTATATTGCCCTCGAACCCCACCCACAATCAGTAATCATGCATAGCTTGTTAGAAGAAATTGTAAATCTTGGTGAATTTCAGCTATAAACTCCATCAAGTCTATCTGTACTCTCAAATACATTGACTTAATTATATTAAAGGAAAAAGTTGAAGTCATATTATATATAAATCATTCTATTATAATCATCATAACGACTATCGATGATAAAATCAATAAGCAAGAAATGTTTAGGGACCCTGCTTTTTTAACACCATATCTGAAAACCATTAACTTTAAAATTGCAGAGTAATCATCATTATGCATGTACAACTCATTGTAGTATAAAACGAAGGAACTAGCTGTTGCTATATCATACAGATCATCAATTCAGGCCACGGGCTATAACGATAAATGAAATCTTACATAGTAACAGAATTTTCATTTACCTCAGAAGAATCCATAGAGTGATGCTTTCTGTTTGGTCCTATTCTTTTCTCACTGTATTTTTAGGCATACCATGAATCTGAAATTGCAAAAAAAATTAATTATTGAAAAAAATCATAATAAATTCATGGAGGTAACTGTGACTTCAAAACTACTCCTAGTCAATGCACAACATTCATGATTCAGTAAAATTCTACTTGGTATAATTCACTATAGTTTTTTGGAAAGTGTTCAAAGTGAAGTCATATAAAAATGCCTTTAAAGTGATATCTTTACTTCTGTTTAGAAATTGAAAGATCTAACAGCAACAGTCACTGTAGCCTTCCATTGTCTAACTAAATCCAAAATTACAGGGCTTAGTTATCTATAGAGCCTTCAGAAAAGTGTTGAAAGTTTTGACATTCATAAATTTAGGCATACATTTGTGTATAGCACAGCCATAGTCTCATAAAATCGAATAAAAATAACTTCTGGGGTTTTATTACACACTTTCAAATTTCTTGAGAAAAAAGGTTAGTAAAGCAAGCCTATGAGGTTTGTGAATAAATGAAAGTCCACTTCAGCAAACTTCAGCTTCTTGACAAGCGACACTCGCATAGTCACAGTATTAGTAATGTCACCCATAAAAATTCATGTATATTCCACTTCCTGTTTCTTATCCATGTGTGTTTGTAGTATCTATGATTGCAATTATATCAAAACTTTCTGGTATTGCACTTGTTCAGCATGTTGATGCTGTCATGTCAAACACAAACTTGATGAAATGTGTGCCATAATGGACAACTTGCATAAGTACATCCCTTTTGTCCCAGTAAAAAGATCAGTAAATCTTGCTGATGGAGAGGTACATGAGATGGATAACCATACAGTATACCCAATACTGTTTGTCGGAGATCAATTAACAGCAGCACGAGTAAGAGGAGCCATTGCAATTAGAGCTGACCATGATACTAATATTGAAAAGTTGAATGGCTAAGTTCCAGTTGTAGAAGACTGGCATTGCCGTATGACACTGCTGAAAGTATATCTACATACTATAGTAAATTTAGCTATTAATTGGTATACATGTATTCCAGGTAATATGGACTAAACTATTTTCCAGTAAATCTTGTGACAAAGGTACTTTGTTTCAAATCAAGAACCTTATTCATCAAACATCAGTACCAAACGACCCAAAGGACAATGTTCAAGAAACTGAGGACTTCCTGGAAGTGGTACTTGTAGCGTACATTTTAAATGCTGCTGGAGGAATGACACTTGATGTTGTCTGTGGAAATATTATTGAGAAGTATATCGATATTGGTGACAATGGCACAATGTCCTGTAAGTGATTCCAACAAATTTAAAGGGAACATTTATGTTGATATTATACATGTACATTTGTAGGTGAGGAAGATGCAGTACTTTTATATGGATGTGAATTACTGACTCTTGGACTTGTGTGGTGGAATTATTACGATGCAATCAAAGGAGATGGCCACAGGGTAATGAGGATATGGAAGTACCTAATGGTTATTTAAAAAAAGGGGCCATAGGAATTATGCTAAAGAGGCAGCAATGAGTTTGGAAAGGGTTGCTACACAATTGATGTTGTCCCGTTTTGTCAACACAAAGGAAAGGACTGGATGTAACATTCCTTGCGGCCTTCACCTAAAACACCTCAACAGAAGGCTGAAAGGGATTATCAGTAGGATGGAGTCAAATGTCAAGCCACAAACTATATTGCGTGATGCCAAAGTAATTGGAATTGTTGAAGATATATGTAACTTTTTTAATGCTGAAATGAGCAGAAAAGAGGAATCAGGCAAACACAATAAGCCTTCATACCTTAAACTAATAATGGACACTTTAAAGCAGGGCAAGGTCTTGCAATGTGTACCACACAGAGAAATTACAAAATCTGTGTCAGTTTCAAAGTTATTGTTGGTAACAGTATGCCATTCAGGAATGGATTATAGAGAACATTGTTCCTCACTTTATATTATAGTAAAATATTGTCCAGAAGTAGTTTGATTGGTAATTAAAATGAAATTTCAAAGTGAATTTTTACTGTTACATACGTCACAACATTCAATTACATCACTGTTTGTACTTTCTTCAGAAAAGAGGAAATTTTTTAATAGCATTTCTCTGCGACATTTGGTTGTATCTGTTGCATACTCCTTTACATTGTCTTCAACAAGTTTACTAGCTTTGCCATAAAGTAGAACAGCTCTAGCAGGCTGACCGTCTCTCCCTGCTCTTCCAGACTCTTGTACATATTCTTCTATAGTGTGTGGAGGACCCCAATGATATATCATTCTCACATCCAAACAGTCAACACCATACCAAATGCAGTGGTGGCCAGTATTATTCTTAAATTGCCATTCTTTTCACAAAATAATGATAGCACTTGTTCTCTCCTTTCTTTCCGTGTTGCTCTTGAGTACATAGAGATGATGGAAAATTGAAGTCGTTGTGGGTAATTCGATGGATGTGTCATGTACGGACCAAGCTTAATCTTAAAAGTATAATGTAAAGCTGCACACTCATTATAACTACACACAAAAATTGTCTTAGAATAGCTCAATCCTTACATCTTTACCTCCTCTGCAACTGAACCACAAAAACTGTTCATGTCTAACAGTGGTTTCACCTCATATGTAATGTTATGGCGGTTTGGTAGACATCCAATCAAAACTGGATCTTTTGACATCAAACTATTACAAATAGTGCAGTATGTTGAATGAGTTGCCGTTGCTGTGAGAGCCATTACTTTCACATTAGATGGAAGAAGACTTCTTGTATCTCCGAGATGTGCATACGCTGCACGGAAAGAGTCCCCCCTAATAATGGTAGTACATATGAAACACTAGCAAAATAATTATACTTACCATGTCTTCACGCAATGAGCTTCATCGACAATTGTTGCCACTAGTTTCTTTACACACAGGGGACAAAAGCATGTTCCTGTACATATGGTTACAGATAATATTCTCAGGGCTTACGTACACTAGCTGAACCTCTCCTGCAAGTACTCTTCTCATGGCACTGGAGTCACACTGGTCTTCACCTACAAATTCTGTCACTATACCCATTGCTTGAAACTTTGATCTTTGATCAATCATCAAAGAAATTAAAGGGCTTATACATATTACAATGCTACCCTGTTGCTCTATAAAAATAAGACTGTAATATCATACAAATTAATAAAAAAGCACCTTTATATAGGTCAAAAGCCATTGGAAGCATTGCATAAATCATAGATTTGCCATATCCAGTGGGTAGGGAAAGAAATACATCTACTCCGGACATAAATGCCATAATGGCATCCATTTGCTTGTCTTTAAGGGTGATCTGAAGTTTCGTTGCCACTTCTAAGACACAAGTCTTGGTAAAAGTACTAGACTCTTCTTTCTCTATTTTACTATTGACCACGCCTTAATGAATATCAATAATGCAATTAATGCTCTTTCATTAACTTTTATTGATTACGAAAGTCTCACCGACCAGACCGACGGTCACCCTTTGTACAGCTTCACCTAGCCTGTACACCAGACTCTCTCCCCGCCACCCCAAATTCAAAAAGGGGAGGAGTCTGGTTACGTGAGACTTTTGCCATACCGGGAGAAAGACAACCTATGCTTACTGGACTTTATAGAGGACCTGATTTTGACCACAGGACTCCAATGGTGCCACTAGCGTGGCTCTAGACCTTTTCTGGGAGGAAAATCAAAAAGTGGTGAACCAGCTGTTAAACAAGCCATCGTTTTTCATATTCATCATCATCATCATCATGATCTCCTGTCAATCCAGTTCTCGATTGATATCTTGATCTTGTCTGGTGATGGAAGGCTAATTTTTATACCATTCTACTCCAACAGGGCATGCGCAGGTCCTTGTCCCCTAGAATCATTCTCCCAGAAAATAAGAAGTGATACCATTACAGTTGGATCTCACCAGCTTACGTCATGCCGCCATTTTGTTAATTGAAAAAGCATGTGCTTCAAAATTTGGGCGTGGTCACGCATGCTTAGATTGCAGAACTGGGAACAGCAAGTAATTTTTTACCTTGCTATAGGCTAGCTATGCTGGAATCAAAGTGCAATACTTAGTGGAGGTTTCCAGCTAAGAGAAGCTATTAATCTTGCATATATCAGTGTGTGATGAAATATTTTAAAAGCACAAAACAATTAATTAACGTTATGATACTAATGATAATATGAACTTGACAACAGGAAGAACCTGGAGGAATAGCTGTAGGACTCCTGGAAAGATAGAGCTTCTTGAATAAGAATTCACGTCAAGACTATAGTATTCATTTCACTTGTCATCAGTGTAGTAGATATTCCTTCACCATTTATTCAATTCAATCAGTGCTGTCCCTCATAAATGCTGTAAAATCATAACAATGACAACAATAATTAAGAAACTTATTGTCTGTCTAAAATCAAAAGTATCACAATTGTAACTGAAGAAATATTATAAATGTTATTAAAAAATGAACACAAACAAGAACATAAAAAATTTGAAAAAAGCAAGATTGAGTAGGATTTCGAACGACCAACGAAAATACAAAATGAAAATCCTACTCTCGTGATGCGAATTCTACTTTACATTGCAAAGTGATCCATAACTTTTGAATAATAACATTAAAAGTACAATGTACAGTAGAATTTGCGTCACGTGAGTAGGATTATTTGTATTTTCATTGGTTGTTCAGAATCGCACTCAATCTTGTTTCTTTAATTTTTTGTTTAAAAATGCATATATTTCAACCTTGTCACTATTTTCTTGTACTTTATGTTTACTAGAAAGACAGCAGTTATTAAAAAAGTTTGTGAATGTGTGAGTGTAACTACACTCACAGTTTACATCCATTATCTTGCCATCCTTCTTGTTGCTATATTTGCCAGGTCATGTCGTTGTACCAGATTCAGTTGGTAGCCCATACTAGGAGGATAGTTTATCCTAGTTGGTGTGGAAAATTAAACTAGAATTTGAGGCTTTAGTATGCTTTGTGGTAACTCATAATTTTTCCTGAATATACTCAGCCTGGACACACTAAGGAAGTAAGCAAGCACACATTTTTTGCTATGAATTTTAACTTGCAAAATTATCTTTCTTCATTGAAGATTAAACTTCATAGCTGGAATTAGCTATTAGTAAATTGTAGACTTAGTTTTTTCTTGTTACTGCATTATATACATGTAGGGTGACGAATACGATAAATGCATGCATTATACATTATTTAAAAACTTTTTCGTAAATTTCATTACAGTTGTGACAAGAACTGAAAAATTGCATAATGAATTATGTAATGCAGTAATCAGTAATTCATGTACCTCTCATTCAATGTATTTGTTCCTTATTCATGTAGTTAGCCCAATTGATTTTATGAAAAATGAAAGAAATATTTCTAATTTTAAGTAGAAGAACCTCTCAAGATTATACAAATTTTGTGAGTGTACAATTGTTTATTATTTATGTTAAAAGTGGATTTGGTGTTTATTTAGAATTGTCTAGAAAGTCCAGGCTATATATACTAGCTAGCTTAAACCTCCCACTTGAACTGCAGAATGCTTTTGAAAAGCAATAGTTACAGTTTCAAGCGTTATTGCAGTATCGATGTTACAGAAGGATGGGATAGTGCAATTGACTTTAAGGTCCAGTGTCCTCACAGTTAGTCTTTGGATGAGGGTATGACATTTAAATTAATGTAGGTTCACTCTGGACTTGTCCATATAATGAAAAATGTAAAGCATTTTATTAGCCTCTGTTGGTGCTACCAAGTTTGATTGGCATTGCAAGTGAAGTTTGACAGACGTGTGACATTATGCAATATAAATTGATCATAAAGGAAATGTTTCATTTGTTGTTCTGTCATATTGTCTAGATCAACTCTCTAGATGCGTGAGACTATTATACATGTACAGTAATTGTTATTGCACCTTGATAGGATGTACTATTATTGCTGCTTTTCAATTGTTATGTCAACATTGCATTCCTATTATAATTGGCATTAAAGTTGTTTTTAAGAATTACGATTAAGTTGATCTAAATTACATTGCAAGACATGTATATGAAACTGCAGTAGCTTGTATCAACAATCTGGGCGGAACAGTCTCCGACCAGGCAACAAAGATAGCAAGAGACTTGTGGATGTGTTGCCTCCAGAGAAACATTTTCTTCACAGGACAGCATCTACTGGGGAAGGAGAACGTTTTAGCGGACTCAGAGTCCATAGTGATGAGAGACCGCTTACACTGGATGCTGAACCCATCAATATTTAGACGGATCAGAGCCCAATTCCCTTACCTCAGGATGGATCTCATTGCGACGAGATTGACCCATCAGCTATCCCGTTTCTTCAGCTGGAGGCCAGACCCAATAGCAAAAGGGACAGATGCATTTTCCCAAGACTGGAAACCAGAGGCGGCGGAAACATGGGGGCTACATGGGCTATAGCCCCCTCTCAGACAAAAGGACAGGGGCTAAGCCCCCATTGAATTAGCTGCCATTACAGTAAATGTCAAGGGTTAAAAATTTGATTAAATCTATAATTAACCCTTTGTCATGGATTAAAATTGTTGATTTTTAACCCCTTCAATTGAGGTCGTATGGAAGGTAGCCATGGCAAAGAGTCACATCACTGGTTTTTCCCTTCTACTTCAACCTCAACTTTATCTACAAGCAAGAGAAAAGCACAAGATCAAGATGAGCATTCTGACAGTGATAAAGATGAGTGTTCTGATGGTGATCAAGAATTCTTTGATCCTGATGAGGATTATGATTCTGAATCCGATAGGCAAGTAGAGATGGAAAATGACAACTATGACGATGAAAATCAAGAATCAGATTCTACACAAACTTGCTCATCAGAATGCTGTGACGATGGCCTGGGTCAACCTTACCATCCATCATCAAGTGCTTTGTCAAGGAAGTGCCAGGGTAAGAAGATGCAAGGATGTCAAAGAAGTTGTTTTAAGGAATACAATTGGCTGACGTACTGTGTGACTCGTCAGAAAGCCTTTTACTATAATTGTCATTTAGCTGTATCAAAAGGCCTGATTACCTTGAAATATCTATCTAGAAGAAGTCATCTTGCCTTCATTGTAAATGGATATGACAATTGGAAGAAAGCAAAAGAACGATTTAAGGAGCACAAAAAATGTCAGATGCACAGTGAGGCATCTCTTAAGTTACGATCATTGCAACAGCCTTCTGTGGCTACACAGTTGTCTTGTCAACTTACTTTAGACCAGCCGAAACATGTTTCTGAAGTTGTTAAAATCTCTACATTTTTTACTTCGTCAAGGATTGCCAATCAGAGGACATAGTGAACAGGAAGGGAACTTACTTCAGTTATTAGAGTGTAGAGCGTTAGATGTTTAGGGATTGAGAGAATGGATTGCTACTAATAGTTACCTTTCACATGACATAATTAACGAAATAATCGAAATATTGGCTAATCAAGTTCTTCATGATATTCTCAGTGACATCAAAGATTCTGAGTTTTATGCCGTGATTGCAGATAAAACCCAAGATGTAAGTACTTGCGAGCAGTTTGCTATTTCTATAAGATGGGTTGATAGCTGTCATTCTATTCATGAAGATCTCATAGGTATGGTTGAAGTTGAACAAACTGATGCTTTGCCCTTGTCTAGTACAATTATAGATGTACTTACTCGTTGTGGCCTTTCCTTCAGTAATTGCAGGGGTCAGGCATATGATGGTTCGTCAAACATGTCTGGCCATTTAAGTGGAGTGGCTACTCGTTTAATGGCTGAAGAACCTTGTGCACTATATGTTCATTGTTCAGCTCATTGTCTAAATTTAGCCCTTCAAGATAGTTCTCGCCAATCCACTTCTGTCAGAGATGCTTTGAGTCTAGCAGCTGATATTGCCAACTTTATTAGAGCCTCACCGAAGCGTTTTGCTCAGTTTAGATCATTAAAAGATCAATTATGCAAAGCTAATCCAGGCATCAAACCACTTTGCCCAACAAGATGGACCATACGAACAGTTTCTATTGATGCTATTCTTAAAAATTACGGTGTTATAATTCAACAGCTAGAAGAAACATAAGCTTCTGCTCATGGAGACGCTTCATCAAAAGGAGCTGGTTTGATTCCTCACATTGAAAAGTTTTGCACATTTTTTGGCTTAAAATTGGCTCATCTAGTTTTCAACGCAACTGAACTAACTTCAATCACTTTACAGTACAAAGATATTAATGCTCAAGAAGCCCTTATGGCTGTGAAAATGGCTCAAAGTTATATGACTAGACATCGTTCTGAAACTGCCTTTGATACCTTTTACAAATCTGTTGTAAACGAAGCTACTGAGTATACAGGTAAACCTATTCTTCATAGAGTTAGAAAATTACCTCGAAGATTTGAAGATGGTGCTTTACCAGTTCAATACTCATGTCCAGAGGAGTATTTTCGACGTCAATACTATGAAATTCTAGACATAGTGAATCAGGAGTTGACAAGTAGGTTTGATCAAGACACTTTCCATGTTCTTCAGGAAATTGAAAATATACTCATTTGTTCATGCAATGGAGATACTGTCACACTTTCAGATGGTTTTAAAAATCTATATTCTAAAGATTTGAAGTTAAAATCTCTCCACTCAACTCTCTTTACTACCAGACATTGTGAGCACTCCGAATACGGAACATTAAATGGGTGTGAAGAAAGTGACTACAGTAAATACTGTAATAGAATTACTGAATTGCTGCAGCTTTTCCAGAACAATGTTAAAAGAGGTGAATCATTTACTTAGACTTTACCTGACAATTCCTCTCACTTTGGTCACTGCTGAACGTTCTTTTTCTTCTTTGAGATGCCTAAAGTCCTACCTCAGGTCTTCAATGACTCAAAAAAGACTAAACAATATTATTATTATGAATGCATACAAGATATACTAAAAGTTGCTCAAAAGTTTGTCTCGAGAAGTAGCAGAAGACTGTCATACTTCGGTGATTTTAAAAAATACAATTTATTGCTAGTTACATCCTGTATATATACAGCAAATTTTTTTTGCGAAGCAATAATTATGAACAACCATAGATACTATATCAAAAAAATAAGCGCGGACTCGCAGATTTTAGACCCAAAGTGGGTGTGGTTCCCCTAAAATTTTGGCGCGCATCGCGCGCCATTTTTTCTTTCCCTTTTTTTAAACCCTCTTGCCAGCCCCCCCTCCCTTGTTTTTCTTCCGCTGCCCCTGCTGGGAACAGGTGAAAAGTTATGCCAACCCCCCCTGGAACCTAGTGGAAAGAATCCTGGCAACGGTGGAGGAGCAGGGGACAGATTTAGTCCTAGTAGCTCCAGTGTGGTCATCACAACCCTGGTACCCCAGATTCCTGGGATTGTTAACATCTGAGGATCAATGTTCAGCAGAATGCAATAGTGGTAGCAGACCACCAACCTCCTGTGGTACCACCTCTAGCCATGTGGCCTATCTCAGGCAACACTATGCTAGTAAAGGACTTTCAGGAGAAGCTGCAGACCTCCTCATATCCTCTTGGAGGCAAAAAGCCTCTAAATCTTATGACTCAATGTGCAAAGGATGGATCAGCTGGTGTACTGAACAGGAAGCTGATCCCATTTCAGGACCTATAGACGATATAGCAAATTTTGAGCTTACCTCTACAAAGAGGGATATCAGCAATGATCACTCAATGAATACAGGTCAGCCCTTGCTTCAATGCACACTCTGGTAAGTGGGCTATCCATTGGTCAACATCCATTGGTCACCATACTACGAAAGGTAGTGTTTCAAACATGCCCACCTCTACCAAGGTATCAGGGTACTTGGGATGTAGGCTTTGTTTTACACTATACTAGTAGCGACACCTTGAATGACAACATGAGCCTTAAGCAGTTGTCTTTACAAACGGTCATGCTATTGGCATTGACTCGCACATCTCGTTCAGCTCACCTATCCAACCTGAGCTTTAAAGGCTATAGGAACACACCTGAAGGTGCAGTATTTATATCCGCTGTCCTGGCTGAACAATCCAGACCAGAAAAAAACTTTAAAAAATTATTCTTTGCTAAATTTAATGGAGATGAAGCTCTATGTCCAATGAAATCTCTGGTCCTTCATATTGAGAGGACCAGAGAATTAAGAGGGGATGCTAAATACTTATTTATTTGTTTCATCACACCACATAAACCAGTCACCTCTTCCACTATTGCTAGATGGTTAAAACAAATCATGGAGCTGGCGGGAATAGACACCTGTGTGTTTAAACTAGTAATCTTAACAAAATACATATGTAGCAGAGGCTACAGTGCTCTCACATAGTCCTGTCAGTAGTGCTAGCACTTCAACTGCTGCTAAGCAAGAAATCACAACTGAAGATATCCTTAGTGCAGCAGACTGGAGTTTAGATTCGACCTTTCAGCGTTTCTATTACAACCCAGTATGGGATTCAGGGTTTGCAGAATCAGTCCAAACAACACCATTGATATGTGAGACTGAGCCTTCTGAAACATAATTACAGAATGGCTAAGGTCACGAAGCGGCTGAATGTTCTTCTGAGTTATATGAAAAAGGTGAAGTCAAGCATATCTTGACTCCCACCATGCACCATCCCTATTTTCTATCATAGGAAATAAATTATTAAACTTTGATATGCTGCACCTTCACATAGGAGTGGTTTGTTATATTGGCATGTTTATTGTTACTCAAAAGGCCATTGTGGTCACATTGTGTTGGGGATTGTATAACACCTTGAGACCCCACCTATAGGTGGAGCAAGTTACCGTAAATGTTTTAATTGTACTACAAAATAACTAAGATTTTAGAAAACTAGACCAAACACCATTGATATGCTCGACTTCACCTTCTTCACATAACTCAGAATAGCATTCGCGGACTTAGCCATTCTGTAATTATTGTTGGGATTCCTTTAAAAAAATTCCAGGACAAAATGTATTGCTTAAATGACACAATTCAAATAGTTTGATGCATGCAATCATACTTTGCCAATTGTACATACTAATAATTATGGCAATTGTACTTAAACATTAGTTCGCATTTTAACAATGTAATTGAAGCACTTTTGCTTTGTACAAGCACTTCAGCACACTAAATGGCTCAGAAGACAGAAGTCTATTGCTAAACTATGTAGTTTGTCTAATGGATTTTGTTAAAGAAGTAACAAATTTTAAGGCCTAATTATAATCAATTTGCCGTCCACTTCTTGCTGCATTAGTGATGTTTTTAAACCAGTTACAATTTTACTGTTTTAACATAATATATCATAGAGTTTTATGAGTCACATTGACTATCATAAAGGGAGAACGGAATTTTTACTTAAAGGAGTGTCACTGTCAACACACCATTGTTACAGTGATGTACCTTTGAAGATGACAACATCATGGCAGCACCAATGTTTTGAGTTGGTTGTATTACAGACATAGAGTAAAAAATCTTAAAGCATTAATACTTCCTCCTTGTAGTAATTTATGTAGCATTCGGACACAAAGAAGTTAAAGCAGTCATAATGTCACATCGGTATGTCTTTGGCTCTTAGCATGCTTGTTAGCCACTTCAGTTATAACTTTTGTTAAAAAAGTAATGTACACATGTATGCCTTGCTGGTCCACTCTGTTGTACTAAATGTTTAGGGTACCAGCCATACAGAAATCTCTTCATGGACAATGGAAATTTGTTTTACAATAACACTCATGTGCTGTACTTTAGTAGAAATTGATTTGAATTGGTTAATGGTTACACAATCATGATTGCTATGAAGCAATCGCCATGAAGCTATTGCAGGTCAATTTAAGGTATATTTTGCATGTTGCATAGTCACAGGCGGCTGCAGGATTTTACTGCAAGTAGGGCAAAAGTGAAGCTAAATGTGGGAGTGGTGAAAAAGTATGTGTGCCTATGACTACACCCACATGCTTTGCTCTTGATTTTAAGCCTGTTATGGCTTCTATTTCAGCATTTTGGGGAAAAATCCAGTTGAAAAAGGCTCTGAACTACTCAATGAAGAGTTACCTTGCCATTCTTATGTTCAAGAGGAGAAAATTCAGCACCTAAAAGACCTATCAATATAGGGTATTTGTAGCTAGGTGATTTAGCTGTTGAATGAGTCCTAGCTGACTATGATGATTAACAATAAAGCTACTACATGAAGGAGTCAGTTATTCTAGTTGCAGGTTACTGTAGATTATGTCTTCCTGAAGTGTCCATAGATATGGACCTATAAAGTGGCTGACTGGCTTACTGTAAATAAACTATGCAGTTAGCAGCTTATTCTCTACTAATTATCACTGTGGAGCAAAATAATGTAGTTTTTGTCATTAAAATTAGCTATAATTATGAATTAATCATGTAATAACTACAAAATAACTATTAATTAACTGCTAATTATGATGATGTCATCTTCCGGTAAGAAATTCTAGTAGGGCATTGCCCTCATTGCCTGCCCCTGCAGCCGCCTATGTGCATAGTTTTGATTCTTTCAATGCTCTTTCTATGTTTAAGCTATAGCCACTTATTAAATACATGTATGTTTCCTATTATGCCAAGCTTGTAAAATACTCCTGCATAATTTATTTGCAGACACACTTATCTACCAATCAAGTTCTGTCATTAATTTTAGGAAAAGTGATTGTTGGACAAATAATACAGTACTATTTTTGGTTTTCATGTAGTTTTATTTACTCAATATCTAGAAATTTGCTGACTAATGTTAAAGGGTAAGTTCAATGCATTTTTGAGGTATTTTTTTATTTGCTGAATATGATTGCCTGACTAAACTAGTGATGTGTTCCAACTCACATTGTCTGAAAAAAATTATTCACTGAGATATGAGCCTTCAAAAATGCCCATTTTTCCTTCCTTCCAGGTTACTTCCTGTCAGTGGGTGTGGCTAAACGTGACATCACTAGAGGCATAGCTGCAGCTAAATTCATTCCTTTATAGGGAGAAATAATCCTTTATTCTCATGCCTTGTAATGTAATAGCACTAATTTAAAGATTAGAATCATTAGCTTTCATTATTCTAAGCATGAAACTGCAATGAAGAGTCATAATACCACACTTTGGTGAATCTT